TACATATGTGATCGTAAAAATCAGCTCTTCACTCACCTCAAATCGCTATCCATTGTTATAAACCAAATAATTATTTTTCAACCGTGTTACTCGCAAATGGGTAAACCAAAATCATCACCAAGTTTATGACCACTTTGTGAACAGTTAGTCCTCTTAAATCACACCGATTCTGCAAAAATAATGACTACATGCAAATCAAACCTTGCTACAAAAACATTGCAGATGTTTAAACATATTATACTTTTGAATTGGGTAAACTCGCGCAGTCATTTTCGATTTATGTTAATAGGATCAATCCTCATTTCAAACATAGTTGCCGTAGCACCGGCACGTTTGTGATGGATGTCTGTGACTACTTCAGTGTATCCCTGATGTATGAACGTCAGAATGATGGGAGAATGTCTCGCTTAAGTAAATAAGGTAACTATATTTCTAATTTAGAAAGTACGGGTCTTAATCTGGTAGCTTTTTTTTAAGGAAAGGGGATCCCTTAAATCTGCCACAAGGGCGCTGCATTTCCTGTAAAGATTTATCTCTAGCCTGCGCATCGAACTAGCTTCCATAGCAAACCTGTTAGTTTTTAAGGATCAGCCATGGTTCAAAGCGCACCCAAAACCGTCAGCTTTGCTTGCAAGCCATCCTAGAAAAAGTGCCGTCTTGCGTTGAAACGGGAATCATTCGGATGCGTTACTTTCCAGAGCGACTTTAATAAAAGGGGGTAAGTTTCTAAAGAAACTGTGGTGCTGCGTCGGTGGAAGGTATCGCCAGATAATTTGGCGTTAGTTGATAATGTGAATCGGCCACTGCAGAGATTTTAAAGCCGAGGCTTTGAGCGTTACCCCTTCGTTTAATTGGATTCACTCTTGACGATGGGCCAACGCTCGAATAGGTTTTACACTGTTGACAGTGGCCAATTCACATTATTAACTCAGTTGATGAAACCAACTTATTCTGACTATAAACAGTAGCTGATGGTTATATCTGATCTTGCTGGTAACGTAACCATTCTATACTAGGTAATTTTGGTTTTATCAACCGAGTTGATGACGTAAGTTGGCCACCGTAAAAGAGTTAAAAGCTGATGTTTCGAGCGCTAGCCATTCGTCCGAGCGAATGACAAGGGACTAGCGCTCGTAGCGTCAACTTTGAAACTCTTTTGGTTGGCCAATTTATTTTATCAACCCAGTTGATAAAACCAAAATTCCCTTGTTAAACTCCCCCACCAACGCAGCACCACAATTTCCTTAGAAACTGACCCCCTTAATTCATTCCATACTAGCTTCGGTTTTTCCCAGTTATTCATTGAGTCAATAATTTGGATCTCATAGAAACTTATGACCTTGCTATTGTCTCTGAGCAAACAAAGAGAACGTGATTCACTTTAATTTCTAAATTTCGTGAAGAAATCTGGAGGTAAAAACTACCAGCAACTTGTGCCGTCTCTTACGACTTTGCTGACTGAGTTGCACACCACTAGGATCATTGCTCATCAGCTCGAATACAACAGCAAGTCTCTCAGCCCACACCTTTCACCCCTGACTTAAGAAAGCTGTCATAAGGCGAAAAAAAGAAATTTAGATTTTTATGGAATGTTAACCAAAGCATAGCTGGACACAAATCTTTCTTAAATCCTTATTTCCTCTCACAAGTTCTCCAAATCTACCCACTGAGACTACACAGGGTGAGGGCAAAGACAACTCATAGCTTAAGATTGTTTATTTAAAATAATACACTTCATCATTGCGACAAATCTAGAAAGCTTGATGACAAGAAAATGTGTCTGTCACACACTTAATGTACTGTTATTGCAAGACATAAAGACATATGTCCTCAATTTCCAAAGCCATAATTGTCTCACAAGTATTACATCTTTCCACTGAATTGATCACATCCACTGTACAATAATTGGCTCCTCTATTAAAAACATGGCTGGTACATGTAAATTGTGATTCATCAGCAGAATTTTCTATCCAACCACCATTGTGGTCTCATTTGGGAAGTTGTACTCAGGAACCTGAAAATGGAGCAATATGTTGAAAATAAGAATTGTGATTTTAAAACTGACAAAGATACGACGTCATGTGAGAAAATGCTTACAAAAATTCATTTCTACCAAGATAAATAATGTTTTGAATGAGTAAATGAATGAACCACAATACTAAAATATTAAGTAACATAACAATAAAATAATAACCAGAAAAACTGCACACTGCATTGTTACCTCAAGATTGAGTGGAGCTGGTCCCTTTCTGATTCTTCCAGAAGCATCATAATGTGATCCATGGCAGGGGCAGTAGTAGCCACCATATTCGCCAGCATTGGCAATAGGAACACAGCCAAGATGTGTGCAGACACCGATCACCACAAGCCACTCATCCTTCACTACACGCTCAGCGTCATCTTCAGGATCTCGCAGACTAGCAACATCAACATTACGGACTTCTTCAATCTCTTCAGATGAACGCCGACGCACAAACAAAGGCTTTCCACGCCACTTGAAAACCATGTTCTTTCCTGGGCAAACAGAAAAAATTTAGTTTTGCAAATCGGTGAGACCTCTATACTCTAACAAGCTTTTTCCAAGTAAAAACTCTATAAGAGCACTTTTTACTTGTAAGTATACACAACAGCTAATCAATACAAAGGTAAATTTTGCAAAGAGTTAATTCAAGCCTAAGTACACATAAACACAAGTGAAGTGCCTGACAAAGTCATGATTGGTTTATGTTCTTGATCTCCGGGGTTCAGAGGGAGGTGCAAGTTTTGTAGATAAGTCAAAGAGTAGAGTGGAAAAAAACCAACATAATTTCAGATTTCTATCACCAACCAATTGCAATTAGTCTAGATACAACTACATTGAAATCTTGATGTTGACAGGAGCTAGACTCATCAACGAGAAGTTGCAAATGAGATGATCCACCAGGGAGGGAAGGAAAGGGGTTACCTTGTCAGCATTTATCTGTACAATGATAAGAAACATGATGAAATGACCTGACCTCTAACAAGGGAGCCCTCAAATTCCAACAAGTCTAAGAGGCAAGGCAGCTGGTCCAAACAAGGTTTTACCAAAAGAGTCGATCAGCAATATCATGCATTAGCTAAGCCTAGCTTTAATTAAGTCATTTGGAATGAAATATCTTACCTTCAGGGATTGTTGAAAGATCTACTTCAATCTTTGCCAAAGCCAAAACATCTGCCGATGCACTCATGGAGGAAATAAACTCCAGCACAACATTCTTGCCAGCATGTAGACCTGTCACACCCATACCAGCCACCATGAGATAAGTGAATGCTCGCCGACTGATTTCAGATGTGTTTGGCTGATTTGGATCTTGAGAAACATCTCTTCTGTATGCACTGAAATCAGGCATTGACACATCCGTGTGGCTGAAACGAACTTGTGTTCTACCTGTTTTGATGGTTTTAATCAGAGCAAAGAACATTTTGCTTCAAAAATTGATTCAATAGCACCAAACAACACTTCAACTGGCAAACATTTGAACTACTACTTTCTCATAAACATATAAATAAAAGCATGTTTCTCAGCTAACTTTACCATCAATAACATTTTTGATTAAACAAAGCTGAATTACAGGAAAACTGAAGTGGTTGTAGAGCTGAATGTTGTACATTGTGAACTTGACTATATCAGGGTAATCCAAACAAGGGACCATACACACAGAATTTTGTACATTGTGGACTATATCAGGGTAATCCAAACAAGGGACCATGCACACAGAATGAAAAGAGGGCTGGAAGAAGTCAACAAGTGGCAGTAAATTGCCAATAACCAGTTTCCACTTAAAACAAATAAAAATTAAGTTTTGAAAGCTTCCCGAATGTTTTCCCACACATACAATGTATCTTAAGGTCCAGCAATGGACCCTTAAAGCCCCCTCTTTTGGTAATTTCTTGACTAAGACCAACTTGTGAAAGTACAATGATACATCAAGCATTTGTGGACAGACTTGCTGAAAACTAATGAAGACATGACTCTACAGAGTGGCCTCAAAGTTGTGAATTTCCAAAAATGCAAGCACAGTGGGGGTTTGTTTTTGCCCCTATCCTATGCATAATCTGCATAACAACACCCAGTGCAACATACTGAAGTCTACACATCTCTTTGTCAGAGATACTGACTACAAATATTTCCGATAGGTCTTAGCTTTTAAGTCTTAAGTATTTTATTTTTTCGTAATTATTGTTTGCACGACCCCACCACCAATGCTGATTTTACTTATCGTGCTAAAATAAAGTCCTCACTCACTTACACAATGTACACAATGTAAAACGAAGCTCTGGGCTATAATTATGAATGTACGTGAACGATCTAAAATTTCGTTACAATACACTCATGAGCTTTTCAAAATATGGAAACCTGTCAATATTTCATAGTTAATTTCACCGTGCTTTTCCACCAGTGTCCTTGAACCTAAACTGCATGATCCATGTCAAAGGACCGTACATCGGTCAAGAGGGATCTGCCGGCTCAATATTATGTAAGCTTCAAATATATCAGACCGCTTTAAAACGCCGGGAAGAGAAACGAACGACAAAGATTGAGGCATACCATACACAAAAATGCACAGGATCAGCTCAGAGTTATAACTAAATTTTGAAAGTCGCTCCTTACCAATGTGAGTTGTTGTAGCGACCATGTTTCCAGTTGGGACAGTTTTTAAAAGCGATTGGCTTATGAAAGATGCCGGCGGACTCTGCACTGTCTCAAACGTGGGAATAACAGCAGCAGGGGTACCTTTTAGCGCTTGTGCAACATGGGTAGTGGTAGCAGACAGAAATCTTGAGAAGCCTGGCGATAGGCATTTGGTGGAAAACATCCTGAACGAGATATTTCACGCCAGAAAGCCTCTTGCTCCCTCACGAAACTTGAAGTTTTCCAATATGGCCGACGAAAGTGCGTCACAATTACCCGTGATACAACACGAGAAACAAATAAGGAAACCGCTGACAAAATGTGTAAATTGAGCGCCATTTTCGAAGTTAAATGTTAGTTTCTAAACAAATGGCTCGTAAATTTCCCATATATCTCAATCGATTTTTAAAAAATGATAGTTGAAGGAGTATCTGTTGAATTTTATCATAATTATGAACGATGGAAGTAAGTTACACGCTAGAACGGAGCAAGCTGTCAAACCCGATAGCAGTGCCGTGTTGCAGTCGTTCATTGCAAAACTTGGTAAGAAAGCTGAATTTAATACGCAGTTTGATTGGTTCCTACTCATGATTTATCACAGGAAAGAGCAAAGATAACATCACCCTGAACAATTGTTTGCTTTTGTATTTTATAAGACAAACAGATTTCATGTTGCTGTGGGAGTTATCAGTAATTAATACATCATAGATGACATCAAAATTCGGCCAGCACATCACTGACACACTCAGCTGCACTTTGTGTGCCTCTTTTTTTAGCAGTACATTTTGACATCGTCTGTTATCTATTATTGAATAGACCCATGGCAACATGGAATCTTTTGCCGATTAGAAATCTCAAGCGTATAATGAACAACACTGTACAGTACAGGTAGTTGTTAAATACAAGCTTAGTAAGTTAGTAGTCTTAATAATAATAATATACCTCTCTTTATTCTGGTATTGTAAAATTTCAGTCTGATACTATTCCAGTTATCCTTTAAATTATGCTAATCATTATGAGATCACTCTGCCAAAAAAGAAATCAACCAAGTACAATCTGAGGAAAGAGACAAGTCACCATCCTAAAATAAACACTGATAGGTTCAAAAACACGTTTGTCAATCGCTTAATTTTTAAACATAATCTAGTCTTATAATTTTTATCTTGACTCTCTCTGTAATTTATGTATATCACTTCTTTTAATGATGTAACATAGGATATGTGATTATTTATCTTATGCCTTAATAAAGATTCAATTCAATTCAATTTAATAGGTCATCATGTGGAGGAAATTCGTGTGAGAGCACTGAGGAACATTTTATTCAAGCTAGAACACAAGTTGGTTTGTCCAGCTGATCTGGTTCAAGAGAGGGAGTTACTGATTAATCTTTTAAAATGGTTCAACTTTCCAAAGCCACCTCTTAAAAAGGAGGTCTTGGGAATTCTTGAAATTCTGTCAAGGGTGAGTTTACAGTACATAGTGGCTAAAGCATTTAGTCTCAATTTGTTGATAAAGTGAAATACCAATTATTAATGCTCTCTATTAGAAGAGGTTTATTACATGAACATGAACCCTTTCAATCCCAAGATCTTGTTACTACCTAATTCTCATCACTGTTTGTCATGTTAGTACAGAGCATTTGGTTTTGAATCAACTAATAATCCCCATGTAGATATTTTTCGTTATTCTCAACACTAATACGTTTGACATTAAACCACCTCCTGGTTAGCTCAATAGATAGAGCGCCGGACTGTTGAGCGGGAGGTCAAGGGTTAGAGTCCCGGCCGGACCAACACTCAAGGTCTTAAAATTACTAAGGAGAATGTGCTACCATTCTATAATATCAGGAAATGGATAGACATTCTAGTCTTCTCGGATAAGGATGAAAAACCGTTGGTCCTGTCTCCTTCAGGATTGGGGTAGGAGAGGTTAATTTCCCACACACGAGATCACTTTGTGGTGGATGTCCTCCTCTGGGGTGGGATGGGTGGATACTAGGGCCTGCAGTAATTGGTGCAAGCTGTTGCAGGGTCCCTGCTTGTTGGCGAAGCTAATAAATTAAAAATTAAATTAAATGACATTGTATGGACATTGTAAGGAGAAATTCTGTCTTGGTCGCTCACGGGAGTGAAAGGTTAACAGGCTTTATTTAGCCCGTTGGATTCATATAATTTGTATCTACCGGTACTTGTAAGCAACTGTTTGTCTGAGTATTGATACCATTTAATATTTTTGGTCACAAACTTGATTTACAGGTAGTTTTTTTTTGTTCATTTGACTAAAGGTAATACATTTCTGTGGATCAGGACTACTTAAGAAATCATTAGCCGATAAAAAGCAACAACATTTTCATGCTTCATGATACTTCAAGTTTTTTTTTTTTTTTACTGTTTCCATCAGCCTGTTTCTGGAGCAGAGGGCCTGCTTAGCATTGGAGCAGTAGAATTTCTATCACACCTAAGGCAAGATGTTGATCCTGAATTACACCAAAATGTTGACAATGTGATACACCAACTACTGAGTCTACCACAAGAGGATGCTGTGGATCTTAGTCGGCAGTGCTTGTATGAGGAGCACAACCCTGGGTCAGTGGAACAAACTCAAACTTCATTGGAACATGATAAGTATCAGCAGTCCCATGGTGAGTACTAACCAGATTTGAACTGAAAGTTACCAGGCTGGTAGACATAATATACATGTTTATATGATCATGGTGTGTAAATTGAAAAATTTATCAGATTTCAGGCCTGATAAAAAATTTGTCCTGCTCTGAGTGAGGACAATAGGACAAAAAATGATAGGACAAAAAATTACCATGCGCACTTGTCTCATGGAACTCAAGGGGTTTTGTTAAATGCTTTCAGCAGGAGAGCAACTGGTTTTCTCAGACAGGCAAAACTTTTTTGAACTGAACTTTTTAATGAGATAAACTTTCCCCCAGATCCTCAAACCAGGGCCCAGTTGTTCCAAGGCCAGTTAGCACTAATCCAGGGTTAAATTTTAATCCAGGTTTCTATATTTCTCTGTGCAAAGGCTGTTTTGGGACAACTTTCCCAATTCTTTTTAGAGCATTCAATTATGAAATTGTCGACAAATGGAATTGAACTAAATTTTCTTTTAAAGCTTTCAGATCTAAAATTAAATTTCACACTAACCCTGGGTTATCCTAACCCACCTTTGAACAATCTGGCCCTGGTCAGTAAAACCATCATCACACCTGGTCAATTTGCCCAGTGCCCCAACCCTAACAAAACCCTTGGGAACTACAGACAGATTCTTTAGCAATTGAAAATAAATGAAATTTTACTAAGTGCAGTAGAGACCTTCATGATAACAGCAGTTTTTATGCTACTCCATTCATAGGTCAAACTGCAGTCTTATCTCTCCACACCCAGTCTTCAAAAACTAATCCCCACCCTGAAGGTAGCATAGCCTTCTTGTCACCTATCAGTGTAGCCAGTGGATATTTTGAGAAACAAGGTGGCATCACTCAAAAAGCCATTTCTCTACAAAGACAGACACACTCAGAATCCTCATCAAGTAAACAAACCACAGGTAAACTGTTTGTAGTAAAATAATTCTCCACAATCACAAAATAAAAGAAAGTCAGCTATATTCAGGAATGAAATCCTAACCTAGTATCAAATGCTCAGCCTGTCTCATCACTCTAAGCTATGTACAGTACAATACAGTACACAACTAAATTTTCAGCAAACGTAATTATTTTCAATTGGCAACCTATGTTCAGCAGTCATATGGCAGGCTGCAATGTTTTTATTACCAAGTGTTCATGGTCTACAATTAGTGAGATAAACTTGAGCTTATTTAAATAATCTTTTGCTATTGAGAATTACAGATGCTTGTGGAAAAAAGTCAATCTGTAATCTTCTTTTACCCATATGACATTGAAACTGCTGTAGTTTTTAGGAACTTTTAGTGACAACAAGTCAAGCCTCACCTTTGTCCCATGGTTACCTTTGTCAGCCAGTGATAGACACATTTTGTCTGTGACAGCCAGCCGTCTACAAAGCAGAAGCTCCTCCCTGGTCTCTAAGTCTTGTGAGTTTCTCAGAGATGTTCTGTTTAAGGATTTCCCAGCTGAGATCTTCTTACACAGACCAAACGTGCTTCAGGTAACAAGAAAATATGTCTCTACTTAAACCCCTGAGCCTCTATGTGGCATCCTGCATATGTTGAAATTTAGAGAGACTCAGTATAACTCCAGGGGCCTGTTTCTCAAAAGTCCTGGTAACTTAACGGGCCAGAAGCCGTGTTTTAAAATCAAAAATTTAAAGGATAGGAAAGCAGGTTCTGGTATCCAAACCAGTCCTTTTTCTTTCTTTAGTTTTATTGTATCATTTTCAAAACCTTTGAAATCCCTATCTTGAATGAAAACAGAACAGCTTTATGGGCCTGTTAAGTTATGGGACTTTTGAGAAACAGGCCCCAGGCCTTGGTTTTTTAAAGGCTGGTTAGAGCTATTCAGTGGTTAAATGGTTGTCAGCATATTGTGCAGTAATTTTCTTTTAACACTTTGCTACTGGATTATTAACAATTATTCCATGAGCGTGCATTGGATATGAGATGACAGATAGCCAACGAGGCGTGTAGCGCTGAGTTGGCTATAATCATCTCATATCCAACAAGCGTGAGTGGAATAATTGTTTTATTAAGAAAAACGACCTCAAGATATTAGACAAATTTTCTTGACTTTATTTTGTAAGAAGAAACAGGATGTTACAATGTACAGATATTCCCTGGTGAAAATCCTGTTCAGGATCCTGTCCAAGATCTTGATTGGATCCTTACAAGGATCCTACCTGAAATCCTATTCAGGATCTTGTACAAGATCCTGTAGGATCCTGTAGGATCTTGTACAAGATCCTACAGGATCCTGTAGGATCTTGCACGAGATCCTATGGATCCCACAGGACCCTACAGGATCTTGTACAAGATCCTATGGTATCCTATAGGATCTTGTAGGATCTTGTACGTTAAGTTATGGGACTTTTGAGAAACAGGCCCCAGGCCTTGGTTTTTTAAAGGCTGGTTAGAGCTATTCAGTGGTTAAATGGTTGTCAGCATATTGTGCAGTAATTTTTTTTTAACACTTTTCTACCGGATTATTAACAATTATTCCATGAGCGTGCATTGGATATGAGATGATAGAGAGCCAACGAGGCACATAGCGCTGAGTTGGCTATAATCATCTCATATCCAACAAGCATGAGTGGAATAATTGTTTTATTAAGAAAAACGACCTCAAGATATTAGACAAATCTTCTCGACTTTATTTCGTAAGAAGAAACAGGATGTTACAATGTACAGATATTCCCTGGTGAAAATCCTGTTCAGGATCCTGTCCAAGATCTTGATAGGATCCTTACTAGGATCCTACCTGAAATCCTATTCAGGATCTTGTACAAAATCCTGTAGGATCCTGTAGACAAGATCCTGTAGGATCTTGTACAAGATCCTACAGGATCTTTTACAAGATCCTATGGATCCTACAGGATCCTGTAGGATCTTGTACAAGATCCTATGGATCCTACAGGATCCTACAGGATCTTGTACAAGATCCTATTTTGGTGAAACAGAATCATGTACAAGATCCTAAAGATTCTATTGGATCCTGCATATCCAATAAGCAATAACCACAGGGCTGAGTTTGAGTGAGAGTAATAATTTAAATTCAAGACGGGAGTCAAAGGTTAGGGTAAAATAAAATTGGTTTTTTATCACAAAGATGTTTGAGACAGTTTCATGGTAAGGATTAATTTGTTGATCATTCAGGCTTACATCTTTAGGATTACAGTTAGGGTTAATTTATTTATATGTTTTAAGGTTAGAGTTGATTCATTTACTTTCTAAGTTGTTTAATCACTGTGCATTTAGATCTCGTTGGAGAACTGAGTCAGTTGAATTTATATATGAAATGGTTGTGTAAATGCAATCCATGTGGGAGAGTTTTAGTGGTTACACAAGACATGCTCAGTAATGTTGATTAAACTTTGTGCATGTGCATTTGTAGTGTATGATAAAAATGTGGTGTAATAGTCACGAAAAATGCTGCATATAATTAAAAGTAGGAACTTTATTTATAACAAATCCACTCCTAGAATACACAGCAAATAATATAAATTACAATTAAGGTTAATAAAAAAACAAATAAAAACTTTATTTAACATTTTATTTGCTGTGACTTTAGTCTTTAATGTTCCTGTTGTCAGATTCTTGTAATTTCTCCTTCCATTTTCTACAATCAGCACAATCACACGGATTAGGCTTCAAAGATTTCTTGTAATGATATCTTACAAATGCCAAAAAAAGCTTCCATGACGTACGCTCGTAATTTTTCTTCTTCATTTTCTTCTTCATTTTCTTCTTCATCTATTTCCTTTAGTCCTGCTATGTAATCTTTCGTGTGATTCTTGACCTGTCTTAAATCATCTTTGTCAGCATGGAATTCCACTACATCTAGCAAATCATCCAAGGCGGTGGAGGCCATTTTGGCGTTTTGTATGAAGTCAGGATTAATTTATTGATCTTCCTCAAGGTTATAATCTTAAGACTTACCTTCACCTTTTTTAAATTCGGTTAAAACAATAATTCCATCAGGTCGCAGTAATAGCAAGTATGGTAAACATTGTAAGAAATATACAACTTTTTTGAAAGACCTGTTTCGGCACGCATATGCCATCTTCAGTCAATGAGTAACTGAGTATGAACAATTATATTGCATACAGTAGATGAATACATTATTTACAATATGATGTAATACAAAAGCGGGTACTAATTACGTGACATCAAACATCAAAGGTGTAGACTAAAATGCTAGGAAAGTGTTATAATGCTGCAATTGTTTGTTAAGTTCAGGTTTGATCTTATTTATATAAAAAGATTCTTTGAGTTTTAAATCAACTGATGATCAAAGCAAAGTGCTCACCTTGCATTACTTGATAGGTAAACATTACCTCTTTGTGACGGTTTTAAAAAGAAAAGCACTGTCAACAGTTTTAAAGACAATGGTTCATGTTGTTGTTAAGTGCAAAGTCTAAAAGTTTTGCTGTGTTTGCAGATTTATAACTGTACAATACTTGTCAATCACCCAATCCCAACACTGCATCAGAATCACCACCCAGAGTGCAACTCCATAGTCTCCCTAGACTGACAGACCCCACCCCCTGATCAGGATGGTCTTCCTACATGGGATCCTATTAGTATATAATTATCCAAGATCCTATTCTTGCCCAGGATCCTGATCAGGATAGTGATCCTAAATAGGATCCTATATATATCCAGGATCC